AGTTCCAAATTTAAATGTATTATCGTTTTGTAAAAAGTTAAATATTGTGCATAATATGGAGATCCCGTCATTACTTTTTTTTCACCGTGTTTCTTTTTTAATATTTATGTACAGCCTTGCTCAATCTTGCTAAGCATTCAAAAGAGAGAATGTTTGCACCTGTTATCTATATTTTAAAATCGTCTTTTGAGTATGTTCCACTATTCACAATTCTACAAAATTTTAACAGTCTATAGCCAAGACAAGACTGTTTGAATAATAAAAAGCAAAAAAAAAAAAGTTCACTCCCAAGTGCCCACAAACCTGCATCTCTACCTTAATAGGGGCATATACAGTTAAATTAGGACTTGCTGGAGGTAGGGTTAGAGTTGTGGTGTAAGGGGTGGGGTACGAAAGGGGCTCTTTTCAATATATGCGTTTGGTACGCATATAGGGTTTTTAATTGAATCTAATGGATTTCCTTGCATTCATTTTCTGTCCATCCACTACATCAAAAGTAAATAAATAAACAAAATCATTTTACTGATTAGAACATAGCTGATTTACAGATAAATGGAAACAGACTAATTTGCAATAAATTAAAAGTTTGATTTTCACAAAAAATATAGTTACATGTATGTTGTGTTGTTGGAAACATCATCATTTTTCTTCTTGGCTTAACCCGTTGATCACCATGGAAACATCATCATTTTTCTTCTTGGCTTAACCCGTTGATCACCATTGTCAACTTTGGCACCAGCAACAAAATGATTGTGTATCGTCTGCTCCTTCCCAAATGAAATGTTGATAAGAATTGACAAATCTTTTGGATAAAACTAAAAGCAATATCTGAAACTGTCTGTATGAACCAAAATGATGATAAAATTTAGTGACAATTTCACAAAATGCGGAAATATTTACACAGAATTTTTGGCAGTCAAAGGGTTAATGTAAATGGATTAGAAAAATATGAAACAAGTCAGTATTGTTTTGTGAGTGTTCAAAATGCTGTGACTATCTTTTCTCAAAGCTTTTATTTAGTCTCCACAATTACATGTATGAATGCTAACAATATTTTGTCTACTTTCAGTACTTACCCACTGTTTATGTATTTTATTAATAATTGTATCGAATCTGATTAAAATCTTGTGTTTTTAGCTTCGCTGTAGAGAGCGGAGCTTATCATACGAGTGATTGTCCGGCGGCGTTGTCAGTGTCAATGTTTTAGTTTTTCGACTTTTTCTTGAAAACTACAAGCCTGAATGTTTTGATACTTCGTGTATATGTACCTTGGGTAGACCTCTCTCACATTTGGTCATTTTGTAAAGATATCTTCAATTCTCTAATTTTGGTGAATA